ATCATCGTAGTGTAGTTGGTCTTGGCCCGCCCAGTGTGGTCCCTGGCGCCTGGTGCCTCGAGCGGGATGGGTGTTGTGGTTTCTGACATGGCGGCTGCGTGTCCGGGAGGGCTCCCGTTTGTGTGCTGCGCCACCGTCGTTTGGTCAGAGCATGCTTGGCGTGTGGTGCCCCTCGAGGGCACCACAGGAGATGTGTACGAAGCTGGCTTTGGGGTCCCACCTCTCCATGGAGCTTTGAGCCTGCTGCATCACCGCAGTTCCTAGCAGGTCTCGCAGCTCCTGGTGGACGCACTTTGCTTCGTCGGTCGAAGGCTCAGGGGTTGTTTGCAAGATCATGGCGGCCACTGCGACGTTTTGGCTAGCTTGAGGGAAGACAGGTGTCTCCCTCCTACCCTGTTGGGTTTGATCATACACACGGCGTGCCCGCGCCCTTCGGCGTCGAGGTGTTGCGGGCTAGGGCATCCGTCATCGCGGCGTTTGTCAGCCTGATCAGCTTATCGGGCCCTAGCTCATTCCAGGCGTTCCTGGTCATTCTTAGCCTATTCCCCGGGGGTGTGTGGAATCAGATAGGCATCGTACTCTGCATCCTTCACCGGTGCTGCGCCATCCTCTGAGAGATGCAACATGTTCTTAGGGGTGGCTAGCAGGAGGTCGTAGAGGGACTCTGAATCCCTCTCCATCATCCCCATAAACCTAGGGGAATCTAGCATCGTTGTTCGGCCGTTGCGCCAGGCCAGCTCTTGCTCGAAGAGGGTGATTGTGTCCCTCATTTCGGACTGCAGTGGAGTGCTGGGGTTCCCGAATTCAACCTCTGGCGGTAGGGGTCCACCTTTGGAGAGCTAGGCAAAAGCAGTTGCCAACATGTAAAACACTCGTCGGCTCAACTCTGGCTCAGGGTTTGCCCCGAGATAGGTGTCGACTCAGCATGCTAGCACATCGAGTCGACGATCGTGGGACCGGCTCGGGCCGGTCCGTGATCAGGCATTGAGATGTGTGGTGGAGCCGCATTCTCTTTGCTCAGTCGTAGCTGACCCAGGCGATCGGCCATGAAGTCCAAGTCCCCGAAGCGCAAGGCTTGGCCGGGGAGAAGACCGTCTACGGGAGCTGGCCCGTTGATGTCCGTGAACTCAAGGCTTCCGAAGCGGATGCGGCTGCCGGGGGCCATGCCAAGAGCAAGTCCAACGTGTAGTGCAGGGAGCCATCGCTTCCTTCTCTATGATCGAGAGTGTGCAACTATCCCCTACCTGGCGCGCCAATTATCGGGGTTTTGTAAACTGAACTAGTAAACTTATATGATTACCGCTGCTCTAGGAAGACGATGGTAGCATCCAGCAGACATGAGGATTTATACTGGTTCAGGCCAGAACCTTATGTCCAGTCTTAGAGATGATCGAGTGCGTGTTCCTCGCTTGGATGCTCTAAAGTTCTTACAATGGGCGTGCAAGAAAGGTGGAAGAGATGGAATGTCCTATGCTAGGCCTTGGGTTGCCCGAAGAGAAGCTCCAAGAGCCCTACAACAATGGTGAATGAAAGGAATGGTAGAGGATTCAGAATGTCTAGAAAGGGGCCCTAGCTACCCTTATATAGAGTTCGGGGCCAGGGCGCATACAAAAGCAGGAGGTTCTCCCGACCGAAGGGTCATGAACCTAAGGGAGGTCCTAGCTAACTTGGCTTGCAAGCTACGCCATCTTGTGGAGCATGTCTAGGCATGGCTGTCGTCACCGCCTTGTGGCCATGTCGCAGCAGGGTGTGGTGTGGCGCCTACTATGCCGATCGTGACGGCACTGTAGGCACGGTGGTAGTTCGCTAGCCATCCTGTGTGACATAATCTCCACCGTTGTCTTTGTCCTCGGCTCCTGGTTCCCTTGGGCGTGGTACATGAGTTGGTAGCCGCCCTCAGGTCGTCGATCGCCTGGTCGTCTTTGAGGAGCTAAAGGCCACGATCCCGATCATTGGGGTCATGGCTTTCGTCGGTCCGTGTGGCCTTTAAGTCAAGGTCCCCATCGTGGATCCCATCCCATAGTGGGTGGGACCGTATATCCGTATCACTGGGCTATATCTGGTCGGTGGTCTTCGTACCCGTTATCACCGGTTTGAGGCGGCGTTGTCTTGTCCGTGCGGCGTGGCACAGGGTTGGTGTCTGACCGGGCTGAGGTGATTGCTATCGCCTCAGTCCTTGTGAGGTCAGTGCAGCATGCTCGCTTTTGTCAGGGCAGGAGCGCTTGGCCGAACACAACCTCTCCCCATCCCTTCCAAGGGTCATAATGGGGAGAGGTCATGTGCTTTGCGAATGTCGCGCGGCCAGGGCTGGAGATTGGATCGCGGCCGACCCTGGCCTTAGTTCATGACATGTGATGCTCGTCATTTGCTGGGCCTCGGTCGCTTGGGCCTCTCCTTGCTGATGCGTTGTGGGCCACGTAGCCTGCTATCTAATCGGTGCCTTGAGATACCCCAGGGTTATAACCCCGACACTTAACATTATACATCTGCTTATCTTATTGTGATCAATAAATCAATAGCAAATAAGAGCCACTAATGACCTTCTTATTTCATTATGGAGAGCATCTTATCATATCCCTTAAGAGTCACATTAGGTTATGTGGACCCACAATAGCCCACTATCTTGACTCCATAAAAAATTTCTTATTGTCTTAAAAATGGACGGATGTTAAAAGAGATTAACTTATTATCATTAACTTATGACTTAACTTTGTCATTCCATCACATTAAACTTAAAAGATCGCTTAATGAAGTGGATTAATTTTAAAAACTACAATTCTCCTCCTTGAAATGTGAACAAAACAACCATGTCACATTTCGAAGTATATATTAATCCACTTCATGAGGTTACTTTAAGTATAGGTTATCTTAGTCTTTTCTTTGCACATTTCTTATTAGCTTAATCTTAATATATTTTTAACCAATGTCTGTCAATCTTAATGTAATTGAATAGAAGAATTGCTCCCCCTGATCCTTACCGACATGATTATATAAGAGTTATGATCTTTGTTTTGCTCCCAAAATCACTTAATGAAACTTTTTTATTGGTAACTTAAGCTTTGTTAATGAGAGCTTACTTCTATGTGCATAATCTTTATTCATAACTTCAAAACAATAAGCTTGTTCTATACTTCATCAGGTTACATTAAAACAATTCAAACTTATGGTTGTGCTTAACAATAAAGATACATAATCTTCAATACAAAAGAACTATAAATGAAATAAATGGTTTAACATGGTATTAATCCTATGTTGATAAGATCTATAACATATAAAAAATTGAACAAAAGGGAGCATAGTGCTTAAAAGAGATGACACATGAATACAATCACCTTGGTTAGAATATATCCTTGTGCCAAATCTTATTCTAAAAGAGAATATTATTGTCGGATTATTTAGCTCCGAAAATACCTAGCAACGTGATCGCGTAGACGGATCCAAATGGTAGTACACGAGACACAAGAATCTATACTGGTTCGAGACGTGGTGCGTGCTAATCCCTACTCCAGTGGTCCTGCTGCTCTTGTATTCGTATACTCAATTACAGGGGATGTTGCTCCTAGCTATGAGGTAGATTGGAACGGCAGAAGATGGATCCCGTGCCCAAGGTCTCTACCCTCTTTTATATAGGCTGGAGAGGTAGGGTTACAGAGAGGGCAATCGGGCTAACAGATTGTATTCCTAGTTTATTACAGCAAATTGTTTCTAGCTATCGTCCATATACGCTCGCCTTGGTTTGTCTTGATCTCCACGTTGGTCGACCGTGTCAGTCCTTACGGGCCTCCTTCTTAATGGTTGCTGGGCCGATAGCTTGACGATGATCATATATACAGTCGGTGCAGGTACCTGTCGGGGAAAATTGACGCTGGTCAGACATTTAGGGCTTGTTTAGTTACTATACTGGCCTGGGGAGGCCTGGCCAGGCAGCTCGCTCAGCCGTAGGCGTAGGAAAATGAACGCTGAGATCCTTGCCTGAGCGCAGGCAACTTTTCCAGGTTACACAGCAAACACGCCCTAAGTGCTGGTCGGGGCACGACTGGATGCCACCTCGGTCGGCGCATAACATGACCCGCCGCATTATCCGTACATCGCACACGTCATCATCAGGTACCAGTGACTGATTGGCGCTGGCTATAGATGTCGTCTTGGTGTAGCTTGCTCGTGGTAGTGTCAAGTATTCGTACACGCATGCGGCTTGGTCGATTGGTTGTCCTGTTGTCTAGTGTTCGCAAAAGGCGTGTTTTTCATGACTCCAATCTCCAACCAATGAATGCGCAGCACAATGACATTTGACATGGTTGTGGCTTTGTGAGAACTCCATCAAACATCACAGCATGATACAGCAGCGAAAATAATTAGGTCAAAATTTGATGCGCTACTTTGAATTTATAGATATCTGCCTATCTGGAATACAAAACACACATGATTTGTGCATGCATAACCCATTGACAATAACTAGACTATATTAGCCTAGAGCCCTAGACTCGTATAACTTTTCTTTCTGCATACTGTGAGGCCCCGCAAAGTTTAAGCACGACTCTCTAACCATGCCTAAACTAGCAGCTTGGTTCCTTGTGGCGTATGATTGTCTCCATGATTTACAAGCAATCTTCACGAGCTTCCACAGGCATGAAACTCGATTTCCATCCAGCAGCAAGCAGTTGATGGCATGTGATTAAGTCCTATCAAAAGAAATAAAGACCGAAAAGCACAACATAAACATAATAGAGCATTTTTTATGCTTTAAGGAATGAATGAAGGATTCTGATACTAGACATGCCTCAGCTCCGATTTCCGGCCTCTCGAGTGCTATGCAACTTCACACCTGCAGTCACCTTTAGAAACCACTTTGAGTCACATGCTTCATCGACTTTTGTGGATCCAAACAGTTAATCAATGAAAATTAGCAAGACAGGCATAGAGTTCGGATCATATCAAACTAGAATCTTAATTTGACAGGGAGAAAGTATAGGAAGCAAAACCTCATCTGCAATGACATTTCAGTTCACTTCATCCCCACCTATGTCCAAGTGTGCCTTCTCAGCAAGAACTGAACTCTCTACAAACTCTTCACAATTCCTGCTTGCCAAGCTTCTGATTCCTTCAAGCTTTGTTTCACCCTTTTGAGCCACGCATTCTAAAGATATGTGCAGTGGCATTATCTGAATTGTATCAACTTCAAGATCTGATGTCAAGTTACCGAGCTTGCTGGATTCATCAGCCAAAACTACTGCTCCCACTGCTGCACAGCTTGTGCCTGATGCTGAGGTATCCTCAGATCCATATGGTGAAGTAGTTAATTGTGCTTGTTCTAAATTTGTATCATCATGCGATGGAGAAGTCTGAGCTCCACTGCAAAGGACACTTGAAACGAATTTGACTGGACTGTCACAAACGACGTTACTGACACTATTTCCATGATGAGGTGGGGTTCCCACACCAGGTGGGCTTACTGAAGCCCTTTTTACAGATTTGCAAGGTTCCACATGGCCATCTCCATCGGAATCGTACTTTCTCTTAGGCTGACTCTCCAGATAAGGGCTCAAGCTCAATGTGCCATCTCCATCAGACTGCTCTTGTTGGTTTGCATGCATTGTAGGGCAGGGTTTCTTGTATCCTTGCTCAAATACATAAGATGGGACCTGCTCCCTATGGACATGGGTGACAGCCAGATCCATCCCAGGCTTCCACAATGAATACATGCCAATTTCACGCATAAATTCATCTACTGTCCCACGGATATCAAACTGTTGACCACGTTTTTTCGACCCCTCTTTCCTTGATAAGCCCATGTAGAAGGCACAATGTGCACACTCTATTGTGGGATCTGAATACTCACATGGGTACGGATGGCACTGCAAAATTCCTTTAGTATCCCGATCAATCTGCATTTTAGAAGACAAATAGCATAAGGAAATTATATTTTTCAGTAAATACAATACAACCATGCTTCTATGTAGACTCCATATGTCTAACCAAGAAAATAACAACAGTTGAAGTCATGGTGCACAAAATTAAGAAACTCAAAAGGTACCTTTAAAGTAAGTTGTCTCAAACGAGACTCGATCCATCCCTTCCAAAGACGAAGATCATCATCATCCTCTGCAACTATGTCAACCACTAGAAACTTTCTGTACGCCTCAAAAAAATGGAAAGGCTCAAATAAAGCATTCCAATTGGCCTTATTAAGTTCAATTTCCTGCATAAAAGATAGGCAGTGAGACCATACCAGGAACATTAGCTATCAGCCGTAAATTTACAGGTACAAATCAATGCATACCTGACAAATTTTGTTGCCAAATTGAAATTGCTCCATTATAACCCTCAGTGTGCTGCTTGAAACATTGTAACTAGAGTTCATGCATGGGTAGGCTGGAGTGATGATGGGCATGAGATGGTTTCTATCACGCGGATTTTTGCGTGGATCCCATATAGAAAAACCAAGATCATTATTCTCAATTGCACATAGCATCACTGGATTCGGCCATTGCCACTGGGTAAAAACTCTGAAGAACCTAGAAACCAGCATACTTGGCACAGCATTAGGATAGAGTTGGCAGACACGGGCAACCAGCAGAGCCCAGTTGACACCCCCAAGGAAACCAGTAATCTGACAAGGAAAATACTTTAACATCATTACAGTTCATTTGCGAGGACAAACTTCTTTTTGTTAGTCTTCATTCATTCAGTCCAACTACAAAATAAACTGTGCAAATAATTGATGATAAACTCAGGCTTACATTAGAATAAACACCCCTTCTCTTTGCCCAGTACTTCAAGCATCTGAGTGTTGTCCGGAAATTCTGCAAAGCACAAAGTTTGGTATACTAACACAGTGGGACCATACCATACAGGATAAAGTTGAGGGGGATGTTTCATATAACCTCAACATTTGGAACAAGCCGAAGAATCTGATCCGCCACTCTGCATCCATTAAGACTTCGAACAGTTGCTTCATCAACATCACAAAGCACAGATCCTTGAGAGATATCAAAATCCTGAAGCAGTACAAGAAAACAAATAAACAATACATCTGTTCAACAGCATTCTGCATGCATGTATGTTCTTCAGAGAGAGATCCCATGTTAAGTTGAATCAAAATCTCCCATATTTACAAAAATGGGGAAAACGACTTCAAGAAGGCAAAATAAACAGTTTAAGGTATATGTTTTGTCCCTCCTGTCATCTTAAAAGGTTAAGATTAACAAAAGATGACATTAAGTTAAGGAAACAGGTTCAGGTGATATACATTTTAAGGAAACAGATTTTAATAAAAAGCCCAAAATCTATCACAACTTCCACCTTTGAAAAGCAGGAACCCATATAAGATAACTTAAGTGGCTAAAACACTATCTCGTGCAAAAGGTACACTCCTTATGCAGGAAAATTTTCTTTAACGAGTGTAGCCAAACAAGGACACATCAAGACATAGAAGTATTCAATGGAATGACTTACCGCTGGTATCACTGAAAGAGAGAGGCTAGCATACAGAAGGTCAATTGATATCCCACGGAACTTAAATTTCAATACAGGTACGTGAGCATCAGGTACAGGTTGCAACTCAGTAACTTCTTCCTTCTCTGCTAATATGCCATGCAGTGTGACAAAGAAATCCTCCTGCAGAATATTATTGTTAACATCCATCATATATCCTTATGGAATCTACAACCAATAGGCAATAGCACATGTGAATTCACCTCTCGGTTCACATATGAAGGTCCAACACAAAGGGTATCAATATCAGCTTCAGGTCCATGAACCTAACAAGGTTATAAGACAAAATTTATCGACTAAAAGTATTTAATGCAAAAGGATAGCATACTGTCTCAGCACCTCACAAAATCAAGATGGGACACATAACCTAGGGATGTTTTTTGTTGCCTTTACATAAAATTTCCGCTAAGTTAAATGATATCAAGAAGTCTGACCAATCCTAGTCACCATGGGATGGGACCCACCAGACGATTACTCGCGATTAGTCATCAACCAGGGCGACTAGTCAACCCTGGTCGGTCCTGGTCGTCCTATATATCAGGACTAATATACCAAACATATACTAATATATTATATGCTCTAGAGTACAAATCAAGCATGAAGATAACTCTAGGGTGGTGGCTGCAAGTAGGGTTGCAAATTGGGCTGGAAAACATGAGGTCAAGTGCCCTAAGCTATCCCAGATGCAGCCCATGTCCTCAACTGCCCAGCAATTCCATTCTTTTTCTGGTCTTCCAACCCCTAGTCATCTGACTAATCGTGACTAGTCGACAATGAACTGGACGACCAGAAAACTAATCAGCCTAATCGAGTCGTAGCCCCTAGTCGAGTCCAGGATACCGACTAGGAGTCTAGGATGACTAATTGCTATTAATCGTGATCAATCAGACGACTTTATAACACTGAAGTTAATTTGCAAGATGCAGCAGCGAACTGGTTACACAATAGCTGTAAAATAAGCATCTACAACCTAGAACCCTTTGTCCTGCAAGTTACTGCTTATAAACAGATATACAAGCTCTCATAGTTTTGCAGTATTCAAGAAACAAGAATGTGTCATCTGAGTTACACACAATAGGTTGAAACCACTCTCAGAACATCTGATAATACCATTGCTCTTAAATACAACAATGAATGTTATTTGAATGAAGAAATAAAACTATAAACCCCATAAACTATATTGATCTTGTCAAAACAAGAAATGCAATCTGTCACTTTTTTTTAAGTTATCAACTAGCAAGAGGCCCGCCTATGTTGTCTCAACATAGCAGGTTCCAAGCCTTGGTAAAGGAGGAGGGTTGTGATAGGCGTGGCGAGCCAACGTTAAATCTAGCCATTCTAATGGAGATGAAACCCGAAAGAAAACCGTTGGGGCGTAACCCTCTTAGCGACGCGCCATATCGGAACCCGGGTATGGTGTTAAATGGGCAAGGGCCGGGTCGGCACCCCCTTGGTGACGCGCAGTGTCGTGATTTGGGCATGGTGTCAAGTGAGCAAGGATCGGGTCGTTGCTTCCTTAGTGGCGCGCTACATCAGCGCCCGAGTGTAGTGAAAAATGAGCAAGGGTCTTCACATCTGAGTCGATGGGTGCGAAGGGTAAGGAAGCTAGTCAAACCAACTAGGATCCGTTTAGATAGTTGGAATGTAGGGTCGCTTACAGGTAAGTTAAAAGAATTAGTTGATACCGCAACTAAGAGGCGTGTAAATATATTATGCGTTCAAGAGACTAAATGGAAGGGTCAGAAGGCGAAGGAGGTGGACAATACAGGTTTCAAGTTTTGGTACACAGGGACAGACGTGAATAAAAATGGAGTAGGAGTTTTGATTGATAAAAGCCTCAAGAATGGTGTGGTGGGAGTGAGAAGGCAAGGAGATAGGATTATCTTAGTCAAGCTTGTCGTTGGTGATATGGTCTTGAACGTAATTAGTGCGTATGCCCCCAAGTAGGCCTCAACGAGAGTGCTAAGAGACAGTTCTGGGAAGACTTAGATAGCTGATTAGAGCTATACCTAGTAGTGAGAAGTTTTTTATTGGAGGAGATCTTAATGGGCATATAGGTACTACAAGCGCAGGTTTCAAGGCAGTTCATGGAGGTTTTGGGTATGGTAGTAGGAATCGGGAGGGGGAGGAAGTTCTGGACTTCGCAGTAGCTTTTGACCAGATGATAGCCAACACTTTCTTTAGAAAGAGAGAATCTCATCTAGTGGCCTTCAGTAGCGGACAACACTCTAGCCAGATTGACTTTGTCCTCGCAAGAAGAAAGGACAAACGAGCATGCTTGGGTTGCAGGGTGATACCAAGAGAGTGTGTTGTTTCTCAACATAAGCTTTTGGTGGCAGACTTTCGTTTCCAGGTGCGTGCCCATAAGGATAAACAAGCTAAAAGATTGAAAGAACAAAGTGGTGGAAACTGAAAGGGGAGACGTCAGAGGTATTCAGGAAAAGGGTTATCAAAGAGGGCTCTTGGAAGGAAGATGACATAAACAACATGTGGGAGAAGATGGCAACCAACATTCGGAAGGTGGCCTCAGAGGTGTGTGAAGTAACTAAAGGAAGTGGAGGCGAGGCTAAAGATACTTGGTGGTGGAACGAAAAAGTCCAAATGGCTATTAAGGAGAAGAAAGAATGCTATAGACGCTTGTACCACGACAGGGGTGTGGACAACATAGAGAAGTATAAGGTGGCAAAGAAGACTGCAAAGCGAGCTATAAGTGTGGCAAAGGGTAGAGCGTACGAGGATCTTTACCAACATTTGAGTACGAAGGAAGGAGAGAAGGACATTTATATGATGGCTAGGGTTCGTGAGAGAAAGACACAGGACTTCAACCAAGTTAAGTGCATTAAGGATGAAAGGAAGCATCTCTTGGTGAAGGAGGATGAGATCCGACATCGATAGCAAGAGTATTTTGACAAATTGTTCAATGATGAAAAAACGGACACAACCTTTCAGTTGGATGACTCTTGATGACACCAAAAGGCGTTTTGTGTGGAGAATCCAAGAATCTGATGTCAGAGAGGCGTTGAAAAGAATAAAAGGAGGTAAGGCGATAGGACCGGATGGTATCCCAATCGAGGTGTGGAGATGCCTCGGGGACATAGCTATAGTATGGCTAATCAAATTGTTCAACTATATTTTTCGATCGAACAAGATGCCTGACGAGTGGAGAAGTATATTGGTACCGATCTACAAGAATAAAGGGAATATTCAAAGTTGTACTAATTACCGGAAATTAAGTTGATGAACCATACTATGAAGCTATGGGAGAGAGTTATCGAGCATCGCTTGAGAGCAATAACGCGGGTCTCTATGAACCAATTTGGTTTCATGCCCGGAAGGTCAACCATGGAAACCATTTTCTTAATAAGACAAGTTATGGAGCGGTATAGGGAGAAGATGAAGGACCTACACATGGTTTTTATTGACTTGAAGAAGGCTTATGATAAAATACCAAGGAATGTTATGTGGTGGGCTTTGGACAAACATAAAGTCCCAACGAAGTATGTCGAGCTCATTACGGATATGTACAACAATGTTGTGACTAGTGTTCGCACAAATGATGGAGACACGGATGACTTCCCGATTAGGATAGGACTACATCAAGGGTCAGCTTTGAGCCCTTCTCTGTTTGCCTTAGTGATGGATGAGGTCACAAGGGACATAAAGGGGACATCCCTTGGTCTATACTTTTCGCGGACGATGTAGTGCTAGTTGATGAAAGCCGGACAGGAGTGAATCAGAAACTGGAGTTATGACGGGAGACTTTGGAGAACAAAGGTTTTAGACTCAGTAGAACTAAAACTGAGTATATGAGATGTGACTTCGGCACTACTACTCAGGAGGAGGAAGATATTAGTTTAGAAGATCAAGTAATGCCTAGGAAGGATACCTTTCGATATTTAGGATCAATGCTACAGAGAGACGGGGATATTAATGAAGACGTTAGCTATAGAATCAAAACAGGGTGGATGAAGTGGCGTTAAGCATCTGGTGTCCTATGTGACAAAAGGGTACTACAGAAGCTAAAAGGCAAGTTTTATAGAACGACGATTAGACCTGCTATGTTGTATGGTGCAGAATGTTACAAAAAGATGACATGTTCAACAGATAAGTGTCGCGGAAATGCGTATGTTGCGTTGAATTTGCGGTCATACAAGAAGGGATCGAGTTCAGAACGATGATATACGTGATAGATTAGGGGTAGCACCAATTGAAGAAAAGTTTGTCCAACACAGGTTGAGATGGTTTGGACATGTCCAACGGAGACCTCCAGAGGCACCGGTGCGTAGTGAAATCCTAAGCCAGGATAGTAACGTGAAGAGAGACAGAGAAAGACCGAAGTTGACTTGGGTAGAGACAATAAAAGGAGACTTGAAAGGATGGAATATACCCAAAGACTTAACCTTAGATAGGAGTGCTTGGAAAACAACTATTCACGTGTCTGAACCTTGATTGCTTCTGCTGGGTTTCAACTCTAGGCTACCCCAACTTGTTTGGGACTTAAAGGCTTTGTTGTTGTTGTTGTTGTTGTATCAACTAGCAAGAGGCCAACCAAAGACCAGCACTGTATGTTCCAGTACAAAATTACAATCCTTACTAAAATAGTCGACAGTAATGTTCCTTCAGATTCCTTTTAACCAACTCTTATCTTTATGGCAAATCACAGTAATTGCTTAATGCCACATGCAGGTATGTAAAACTTAATGAAAAGTGGAGTACCAAACTTGAAAGTACCTACTAGTAGTGCTTAAGTTGCAAGCTCTTCTGCTTATGCAGAACATAAAACTAAGTCTGAGGTTCTGAACCCTGAAGAAAACTAACAAATTTAGGTTATCTTCAGTAAGTGGAACTTGAATGCTGTTAATAAGACTATAGATACAATGAGTTGTGCTATTTCAACAACTGAATGGCAAGAAAAGTTGTTATTACGATAAAAGAACCAAAGAAGCAGATACCCCCAATCTGTAAGACCCAAAAGTAAAAAGGACTGCATTTGCTTGTTCAACCAATTGCTCAGCATCTCCTTTCTTACTAGTCAACTGCTTCACCCATTCCTTGACTATCTGTAAATTCAAAAGAAAGTATATGTGCACGTTAATGTATTATGCAACACTCCAAGGCTCAAGCAAAGATAGATTGTGAAATAAAAAAAGATAGAAAAAATAGGTCTATTATTTCTGCAAAGTAGCAATGGAAAAGAAAACTATATAGGTACTAAAGAATATACCAGCAATGGACAGATAAATATGTTGGTAACCATTCAACATTCTTTCCTATTAAAAAATGCTGAAACAAAAAACATACAAGTACTTGTACACCAAACTGACTTAGCAAAATGCAACAAGGCAGTACACACCATACAAAGCTCAATTAGGAAGTACTACCGCCATTTCAAATTGTAATTCGGTTTATATTTGTTCTAAGTCAAATTTAACTTTAACCAAGTATAGAAAAATATATATTAACATCTACAATATAAAAAAAACACTATTAGAATATATTTAATGGTGTATTGTATCTAAATGAATATCGTTTGAGGATGTAGATGTTTGTGCATTTTCTTATAAACTTAGTCAAAGCTAAAGAAGTTTGACTTAGGATAAAACTAAAATGACTTGCAATTTCGAAACAGGGTGTAGTATATATCACATGTTTCCTTCTAATAAAGTTCAACCCCCAACTTCGATCATGTATGAGATGTCCACTTGTTGGGTAGGGTAAACAAACAACATATAAACGGCGGATAAAACAGGAAGCTAGGGATTACCTGACCAATCTCGGATAACACATCTTCCCGCTTCGCAGACTCCTCTTTCCCCTCATAGAGGCCCGCCTCAACCAAGAACTGAAACCAAGTTTGTCAGCAAAACAACAGGAACATCATCACAATGGAAGCAAGTAAGCCGACAGGGCTGCAAAACGTAAGCAGAGACGAAGAATAACCTTCTCCAGCTCGGCCGTTCTCTGCAGATCCGCCAACGTCGGCCCCGCCAGAGACAACGGCGGGTCCGTGCCGCTGTACCGCTTCGGGGACGCCCGCAGCGCCGCCCTGCCCTTGCCGACAGATCCCGCCATTGACACTAGTCAGCCAAGCACCTAAGCCTCCGCGCGCCGCCTAACCCAAGCAGCTAGCAGATCCCTAGACAGTAGACACCAGTAATCCGCGCCTAAGACCCAAAAATTCCCACGAAAAGGACGCTAAATCGAGCCAACCCTGTCACCCAGCCACCCCCGGATACAAATCGACCGGTCGGCTACAAAACCAAGCGACGCTGACTGGAAATTGACCTCCTGGCGGGAGACTAGCTAGCCTACCAAATTCCGCCCGCAGAGTTCCCCGCGATGCGGCAGAGGAGGAACCCTAGCCCCTAGGAATGAACGCAGAGTTCAGCGCGGGTGTTTGCGGCGGAGGGGGGGGAGGCGCGTGAGCGTGACTGCGTGACAGCGTGAGCCCCAGCCGTGTGGAAGGGGGAAGATTCGCCCGCGCCCGGCTGCTGCCTGCTGTGCGCGAGGGTTCCGCCTGCTGACAGGTGGGCCATGCCTTTGCTATGAAGTATTTTCCTTTCTTGGACTACGAATTTAGAAACACTACTTTATTATTGAAAAACTTAAAAAGGAATTATAGGCATTGAAATTTCTTCAAAAAATTACTATAGAGACACTAAATTTCCCAATAAAATTGATTGGAGATGGAAACAAAAATTTGGTGAAACAAATTCTCCTCTGTTGGATTGTTCGAAACATGAATTTTAAATGCTAACCTACATGACAATCACGTTAAAGCATGCCTTGTAATAATGACCTTTTGTGGCGATGGTTGAAACCTTATAAAACATTTTCCCAATAGAGTAGGAAGTTTTTATTAGGGATTTTAAAAAAGCTTTGCCCTTGAAGTCAATAAGAGGCCGCAGCTCTTTTTAAACTAAGAGCACACATAATTTTTAGTTTCTATCTGCTTTTAAGCTTTTTTCTCTCTCAGATATACTCTTAAAGCTATTTTGCTAACGGAACTGCGCCCACCCACACGTCTGCGCCCACTTCACTTGGGGGCCCACACCGCTCCGTTTCCCGCGCATGCGGGGTCGCGTCTCGATCTACGCCCGCTATCGTTTCCCACGCCTGTCGCTCGCGCCCCTCCGCTCCCACACTTATGCACGCGGGCCCAGCAGCTACAAAGCATGTGGTTGTGGCAGGTGGGTCCAACTACAACATTCAAACACAAGATCTACTTTTGCAACATCCAGATAAAATATTTGCAACATACGTCTAAAATAGATGAAACATTTGGGCATATAGTTGAAACACCATTGCAACATGTGCAAACATCCCAATCTACTTTTGAAACATCCAGATGCAACACTTGCGACATAAAAAAAAAGACAGATGAAACACTTAAGACATGCATTTGAAACACTTGCAACATACGTGTACAAAAAACAGATGAGAGATTAGGGATAGACGCTTGCAACATACGTGTACAACCATTGCAACATATACAATATCCCGATCTACTTTTGCAACATCGCATGAAACAATTGAAACATACATCTTAAACAACTGAAACACTTAAAACATAGGCTTGCAACATGTATGAAAAACATCCAGAAAACACTTGAAACACAACATCGCTGCGCGGCCATGACCTACCTGGTGGTGAACTGCGGTAGATCGGAGAGGGGGATAGAGAGCGGATGGAGGCTGCCTTGGCGGAGGCTCTGCAGGTGGCAAGGACGAGGCCTAGCCGAGCAGGGGCCAAGGAGGGCCCCTACCCAGAGGGGCCCCACGAGGAGCGCTGTCTCCTAGGCCACCGCAACGCCATGCGCTGCTCTAGCACCCTCGTCACCGCCGACGGCACGTACTCCCTGCGACGGGGTGGGGACGGACGCGGTAGTGTATGTGGGTGGGGAGGAGATGAGGCATGTGGCGCGGCGCAGGATGGAGCACGCCCGGGAATGGGGAGCCAAGCATCACGGGCGGGCGTGCACGTCGTGGGAGGGAGCGAGTGGCAGGAAAGGCAAGCAAGCGAGGCGGAGTACGGGCGCAGCGGCAATTTGAGAATGAGTGCAGTCACAACGGCGATTCTAGAGGAAAGTGAGCGGAGATCTTTTTTTATTTTATTTTTTGAGCAACGTGAGCGCCGTGGCGATTGATAGTGTTGGACCATTCGGGCGGACGAGGCCCACCAACGCGGGCGTCTGGACGATTGGACATCTTATTGACAACATTACCGTTTTGCTAAACATTTTTACATATTGCTTTAGCTTTACTAGAGCCGTTCTATCATCATAGGAGTTAAAGTTGCGGCCATTTTAGGAGCTTAAGTCCAGCTAAACATACCCTGGTTCTGATTTTTAATAAGTTCACAGTGAAAAGCATGGTAATAATAGTCCCACTCATATAGAAGACAAGTGCATCTTCGTCTCTTGCCAAGTGGAACTGTGCAAGCAATATAAAAGGGTAAGTACTCTAGGCTAAGTTTAAGACTCGCCACTTGCCACCCATAAAGATATCTGGCATGCTTAGATTTGCTTCTTGAAACTTGATACATGATCATTGTGAGCTTGCGCCGTTCCAATTTACCTTTTTTCATATTTTTAGAATAATTTTAACATATAATTTGATCATGCATGTTCGATCCATTCTCATCTCCAATCAATAGTGATCTATGGCAGTGGCAGTCACCCATTCTCTACTTAGATCTGCTAGTATTTTTTTAGTTTTGTTAATGCCTGTTCGCTTGACTGATAAGCCATGGCTGAAAGTACCGTTGACTGATTTGTTGTAAGAGAAAAATATTATTCGTTGGCTGAAAAGGCACGACTTATAAGCCAAACGAACCCCTTTTGCATGCACCACTAGTGTTAGGTCTAGGCCTCTGTCCTTCTCGTCATTGTTCATGTCGGCGTAGGCTTCGGTATCATCGGTTCCGGCTCTGACTGCCGCAGAGGCGTCAATAAATAAAGTAAAGTTCATTCACCGTCCTTCGACCCTCTCCACCCCTCGTCGCTGCTTGTCTGGCCGCCGACATCGAGGATTTGGCCAGAACTTTCTCCCAGTTCTCCTCCACTACTGTTGTTATGCACTAGCCAGCGCTCGAATCTATTCCTCCTCCACGCTTCGACTCGAGCTATCGGTTCATCCGTCCTAGGCCCTCAGACCGAGTCGCCACCACCTCCATATTGTCTCTGTCGAGTAAGTACACTCCCTCACCAGGTACAAGTCAAGCTTTAGCCTGGTCGGCATCAAGTTCGATCGCCTCCACTAGATCTCTGTCAACCTCTATCGAGCACCACCACTTACCATCTTCGGCAATCTTATTCTTTTATTAAAGGTGATGGATGATCATTGTTGCCTCTACTTATGGTAGCGCGTCTCGTAGGCACCTTAACTGACTGGGCCACCACCTGAGCTCTTTGCCAGCATTGGTGTTGTTGTCGTCATTGAGTTTGTCTTCTCTGAATTTGTATTGTTGCTCTAATCTCAATATATGTTGTGTTTTATTAAAAAAAAACTACAATCAATAGCATCATAGTCATTTAATCCCAATGGGGAATGGGGTTTAATAACATCATCGTTCTAATGAGATTAGGATTGAATTTAATGAGTGATTTCGAATGTGGAAGAAATGACACAAATAGGTGGTAAGAATCGAGGCACTCTCTTTGTATCAACGTAAAATGTGCCTATTTTTCGCAAAAAGAAAGTGTAGAGCATGTTTATGATTTTGGGGGGGGGGGATAAAAAACTCCGCAGATTTTAAACATCAAACTATGCAAAAAGAGGCGCAACAATAAATTCAACAAGTGTTTTCATGATAATAATAACTTGTAACATAAGAGAAATTAAATGGCATGACAATATTGTGCCCGAGAATTCCTTTTTGCCTTTTGCCACTATTAAAAAAAAAGTGGCGGCTAAGGCTGAGTGGGCCCGTGCCGTCGTTTAGTCCTCGTCAATCACGTGCAAGTTCGTTCCGATGCGTGCCCGATCTTCCCACTCGCCCACCACCCACAAGGAGAAACAAATTCTTCTAGCTCTCGCACGCTCGCCATCATCCCCTGGCCCCTGCATTCGACGAAACGACGGCCAGAACCCCAACAGTGGAGGAAGCTAGAAGAGTCCCGAGAGAGAGCATGGCCGGCAGGAGCTTCCTGGTTCGTTCCCCCAAGGAGGAGGAGTCCGACGCCGCCGTCAGAGGTAGAATGCGTCCAACTCTCTCCCGCATCGATTCCCATTTCCCACCGCGTGCCATCTGATTCCCCGATCCATTATCTGCACGAATTCGGGATAGTTAGATTTGTTCTGCTTGCGCAAGGGGTTTTGGCAATGGGCGCCGTGCAAATCTAGAGTGGGTGGGTGTGTCTGACTCTGAGAGTTTTGGGATAGTCGCGGAGCCAAAGACGGGCTTTTGGTCTGGTTTCGATCTCCATTCCCCCCGCGGGGCTACATTTTCCTTCCCCTTTGTCTTGACGGTCTTAAGTTAGCGGGTGTGTTTCAGTGATTATTATTAGTATATACATCTGCACTCACATGGTACGTCTCTTGATCAGCAGTTCCTCGTGAATTAAACTGTTCAATTTCTCTCTGATATCTTAGCAGACCTGCAGTTGAATGAACACAGTGGCAGTGTGTGTGTGTTTGGGTGGGGGGGTAGTGGGTTATTGGCATCGCGGAATCAGTGACAGAGTTCTGGTTGTCAGTTTTGTTTTGTGTGCTGTGATGTTAATTTCTAGAGTTTTTCTGTTACAGAGGCTGTACTACTGGGAGCAAAGAACGCCGCAATAGCTGGTACTGTGGTGGCGGTTCCCACGGTGTGTAATTGTTTAACTGTTATTAGTATTATCCTTGCTTTTTTGAGGATTCATTCCACCAACCTGTTATGTCTCCCCTTATAATTTATGTTGTAGTATGAAAATTGAAATTCTAATGGCTGAAAAAAACTAGCTACCTTCTATAGCATTCTTTTCCCCTTATGTTTAAGTATGGTGTGTTTGGATCGTTTCCTGCTTATGGTTCTGATCTACATGAAAATTTTACCCGGCGCAGTTGGTTGGCTGCCGTGTTCTTCCTTGGGC